GACTCCATCCAGTTACTGTATAGCATCTGACCCATTAGAAGTTTAGTAAGTGATCAAATCTGGAACTGGAATTCGCAGAGAGGGGATTATGCTGAGCCCAGTCAGGGATAGGAAAGGATTGGAGCAGGAGTCCAACTTCCAGGTCTTCCTCCAAACCATGCTAGTTCTAAAAGAAACTTATGTACTTATGTCCCATCTGAGATGGGCGTCTAAGGCAGACCTGCACCCATTGGAGAAGGAAGAGGACTCAGGGGTTTTGCCCGTGGCACATATAAATCTCTTTTTTCATTTCAATCCTTCCCTCTCCATTGGTCATGTTGATGGATCAAGCTTCTCCCAAGTCCGTGTTTAGCAGAGCTCCTGATAGCGGGATTCTCCCTCTGTTTCAATCTCTTGGATCTCTTTAAGGAATGACACACAATGCCACTCATCTTCAATGCATTTTCATGTCATTTGTCACAGAAGAGGGCAAAGACAATGGAACATTCTTCCTTTCGCTCCCAAGAGTATTTCCATGGCCGAATTCACTACGCAAAGGACCCCTACTTTCAGAGGCAGTCTACCCCAGAATATCAGCTGGGCCAAGCGCTGTCTCAGCTACAGACCTCTCCAAATGGAGACCTCCTCGTTCCCCCTAAAGGCTCCCAGGGACCCTCCCTATGGAGAGCAGAACAGGGAGAAAGTCCCACCGCCAGAATGGGGCACAACTGCTTTGAATACCAATCTTTCCTCTGTCCCCTCAGTCTGTCTTTGATCATCGCCCAAAATCAAAGTTTGATGAGCCTACCGGGGTCTTCACACATGAATGCCAACTACAACAATGCAACTAGCAAAGCTTTCATCTTGCAATTTCTTCTGCAGCCTTCACAGTGCAGTCCGGGATGGGAGAATAAAGTTCTGTATATATATGCCACTGCCCCACCTTGTGGGGGCTGGAGATCCAGGTTCAAGAGAGAAGAGCAGGGAGACTTCAGAAAGAAGGGAGGGGTGGGGGGTGATTTCATGTTCCCCGCTACACAAAGGGAAATCGGTTTCATAAGCTGAGATTTATGGCCAAGATGTTCAGTACAAAGCAGGCAAGAGAACACCCTGCTTAAATGGTTCCGTTCTGGGTGTTCTTTCTATGCTTGAAGTATCCCTGCAAAGGTTTCCTGATCAGGCCAGGTAACACTGTCCATGCATGAGAGCGTGAGGTTTTCCTTCCAGACTATGCTTGGATCATTCTATGTCACCTGCTTAAAAAAGGCATCTGTAGGAAAACAGCCATGATCAGAGAGAAGAATCAGTTTGGGAACAGGAACAGGATCTGGAGCAGAAACTGATGTTGCTGCAGGGTCAGGAACAGGAGCTGCTGGAGGAAGATGTTTCGTTGCTGGATGCTCCAACAATGAAGGGACCCATTTGATAAATTGGAGGTGCTTCTTCGTGGCTTCTGAGGAGCCACCTGGGAAGTGGGGAGCCAGTAGCTTAAAGAGCTCCTTCTTTAGCATTGCCGTCTTCCAGAGATGCTTGATGGCTCATTCATTCAGCAGGTCAGAGTCAAAAGAGCACTTGGGAAACAAGATGAGCATCTTGCAACTCTGATGTTTGAGGATCTGTTAGGAAAGTCCCTATGCCTTCTTTTTGTCACTTTGCTCACAACTCCTGAATTCAACATTTTCCTTCATATACCTTCACTAGGAGGGTGCTAGCTCTTCACTAGATAAGAATATATTGATAACACTTCTCTGTTCTTCCCAGTTATGCCTCTCAGCACACCAACGATTGCAATAAGGAAACATTTTCCTCTGCGTATTTTTAATGTAGACCTGCTGGCTCTTCATTAGATAAGATCAATTGAAACGGAAATAATCTTTGTTTATGTACCAGCCAAAGTACAATGTGAAATAATTCCATTTAACCAATAAAATTATGCCACCTTTCTGCTTTTCTAAATATGCCTGTTGCACATCAGCAATAATGACAGCAAGGAAGGGTAAAAGCAAAGAGTATAGAGGCAGCTCTAGCCACTCTGAAACTAAAGTAAACAAACTCGGGAATTAAACAAAGCAGCAGAAGGCAAAACAAGAAACAATGGATGGAAACTAATCAGGGAGAGAAGCAACCATGAATTAAGGAGAAACTTCTTAACAATGAGGACAATTAACCAGAGGAACAACCTGCTTCCAGAAGTTGTGAATGCTCCATCACTGGAGGTTTTTATGAAAAGACTGGATAGTCACCTCTCTGAAATGGTCTAGGACAGGGGTGTCGAAGTGCCGGCCAATGGGCTGGACGCGTCACGTGGAAGCCGTGCCCACCCCATTGCTGGCAATAGCAAAACTGTCCCAATATGTTGCGTGACGTCATGTGACATCGTGAGTTTGACATGTCTAGTCTAGGGTCCCCTGCTTGAACAGGGGGTTGGAAAAGAAGACCTCCAAATTCCCTTCCAGATCTCTTCTCTATTCTAGAACTTCACAGGATCTTGATTCTATCCCTCTGTTAATGCAATCTAGGATTGCATTGGCTTTTTTGGCTGGTGCCACACGCCGTTGGTTCATATTTAAGTGATTGTCCACTAGGGATCCAAGATCCCTTTCACAGTTACTAGAATTAAGAAAAGTTTCACCTAGTCTGTACCTATTTAGTTGCAGGGTGGGCTTTGCCCAGGTGTAAAACCTTATTTTTATCTATGTTGCATTTCATTTTGTTAGGTAGAGCCCTGTGTTCAAGTCTGTCAAGATCTTTTTGGATCCTGAGCTTGTCTTCTGGAGTGTTGGTATTTCTGCACATTGAATAGTCGATGCAATTTGATTGGTTTCCATACTATTTCCTCATCTAGATTGTTAATGAAGATATTGAAGAGAACTGGGCCTTGCAATACCCCATTGCTTACTTCCCTCCATTTGGATGTAGTTCCGTTGAGGACTACACATTGAGTACGATTAATCAGCCAGTTACAAACTCATCTAGTGGTGGTGCTGTCCATCTCACATTTTTTTTAGCTTACCAAGAAGTAGTCTGTATTTTCTTTTGTCTAATGCTTTGCTGAAATCCAAGTACATTATGTCCACAGAATTTCAATAATCCATAATTTAGTCACTTTATCAAAAAGCCAAATAACAAAATTTGTTTTCGACAAAGTCATGTTGGCTTCTGGTTACAACTTAAACTAATTTGAAATGTCTATTGGGAATATTCAGCAGGTCAAACTATATATAATTATGACAACCAAGGGGGGGGAAACACTTTTTGGGCAGCTTTAGTAATTAAAGTAATTTTATTGTTTGGTTTGTTTATTATTAAACTATTTGTTGTCCTCATATCCAATATCTCTGGGCAGATTTACAGGCAGGCAGGATGTATTTCTATGCACAATAAATACAGACTACGTTAAAATACAGTTCAATTTCCACTGGTGCTCCTACTCTGCCCACTTGTCCTACGCAATTTTGCCAAGGGACATTTGTCCTGGCCAATTCACAGTCCAGGACAACTAGCAATGCATCCTGGCAGCCAATCTGCGTACTGAATGGAGAAGCGCTGTCTTCCCATTGGACTTGGTGGTACCAGGTGGGCGGCCATAATGGGAGAAGCACATTGCCTCCCCAGCATCGGAGGCCACTTCCTGCTCCACCCTGTAGTGTCAAGTCCAATGGGAAGGCAGAGGCTCACCCTTCGGCACATAGATTGGATGCCGAGACAGCTGGATAATTGTCAGTGGCTAGAGAAAGCCGTGACATGAACAGATATGTCTGCTTTTAGGGCAGTGCATATTACACCATTGCTCCACCAGCTGCGTTGGTTGCCAGCTTGCTTTCTGGTCCATTTGCAGGTGTTGGTTGTAACTGTGAAGCCCAGCAGGATGATGGACTAAGCTAAGGTGGGACTCTCTCCCCCCAGTTACTGCACAGCATTCCACAACATTAGAAGTTTAGTAAGTGACCAAATATGGAACTGGAATGCATGGATCAGGGATTACGCTGAGCCCAGTCAGGGATAGGAAAGGATTGGAGCAGGACTCCAAGTTCCAGGTTTTCCTCTGAACCATGCTGCTTCTAAAGGAAACTTATGCACTTATGTCCCATCTGTGATGAGCATCTAAGGCAGACCTGCACCCATTGGAGAAGGAAGAGGACTCAGGGGTTTTGCCCGTGGCACATATAAACTGCCTGACCTGAGAGGGTGAACCAGTTGGAAAAGTGCCAGCTTAGAAATCTGTTTTCATTTCAGTTCTTCCCTCTTCTTTGGCCATGGTGATGGGTCAAGGGTCTCTCAAGGCCATATTTAGCAGAGCTGGTGATGGAGGGATTCCCCTTCTGTTTTAATCTCCTGGATCTCTTTAAGGAAGCACATGGAATGACACTCATCTTCAATGTGTTTTCCTATCATTCGTCACAGAAAAGCCCGCATGCTCATCACTCTTTCCCAGTTAAGGAAAATACTAATTAAAAATGGATTGTTGTTATTGTTGTTAATTGTGAAGTTGTGTCCGACCCATCACAACCTCCTCCAGGTCTTCCTGTCTTCTACCCTCTTCTGGAGTCCATTGAAGCTTACGCCTCCTGCTTCAGGGACTCCATCCAGCCACCTCCTTCTCTTTCGTCCCCTTCTTCTCTTGCCCTCCATCTTTCTCAGCATCAGGCTCTTCTCCAGTGAGTCCTTCCTTCTCATTAGGTGGCCAAAGGACTTGAGTTTCCACTTCAGGATCTGGCCTTCTAAAGAGCAGTTGGGGTTGATCTCTTCTAGGACTGACCGGTTTGAACGCCTTGCAGTCCAAGGGACTCGCAGGAGTCTTCTCCAGCACCATAGTTCAAAAGCCTCAATTCTTTGGCGCTCTTTGGATTATATATATATATATATATATATATATATATATATATATAAAAACTTTCAGCCTTCTACTATTCCACAATTTAACTTTCCCAAAAGGAAAATGGACACATCATAGCAAACACACCCAGTACGCTTGGATTTAAATGCAGAAATTTATTCCGTTGCCAAACTAGAGAAAGAGCAGAACAAAGCATGTAGGCCAGGAGAAAAGGGAGAGAGGGCGAAGTGTCCAGAGAAGCTGAGGGGTTGAATTATGGACCGTAAAGGCCACAAACCTAAATCTGCAAAGGATGGTCCATGATGGATGACAGCAAAACTCAACAAAGCTCATTTTAAAATCAGAAGAATAATTTTATTCATTGCAAAAGTTAGTTGTGCAACATTTAGCCTCCAGCCCATTGTCCCCTTGAGAGCATGTGGGGGCACATCCTCTGCGAACAGCCTGTCCTGGAAAGGAAACATAAAGCAAAACATTTACAGTGCCAATAATTGATTTGTGATTGTTTCTGAACCAAACACTAAATCCACACTGGACGCACAATCAGTCATTCCCACACAGCACGAAGGTGGACCTCCTTCCTCCTCTACTGACTACTCGGGAGTAAAATAGGAAGCAGGCATTCTGGAGAAGTTCCACCTCCCTTGGATATTTCTTGGCTTAATCTGCAAGGACCAAGCTTTGTCATGTCCATAGGAATCCCTCAGCTCTCCCAGGCTTTTCCTCTCCCCCCTTTCTATAAAGAATGTGTCCCTCCCAAACATGAGTGAACCTGGGATGGATGGGGTCCCCATTCTGAGCCCCCCCTTTCCTGGTATCCCTTAGGCTGTCAGGCCAGGACCTCAGGGGAACCTAGACAGGGCACAGACAGGTCCTAGGTGATCTGGAATCCTCAGCTGCATTTGGGAGTTCCAGTTTCCATACAAGAAGAAAACCTGTCAGAAAGGAGAGGAACTTTGCTTACCCACTCCGTTGTCCAGAGTATAACAGACGGGTTGGTCTTCCAAACATATTTCCTCTTTGCAAGCACCATAACATCGAAGACACTGCAGACCCGCAACTGGATGAAAGAAATATAAGAGAGGATTCTCTCTTAGATATTTCTTTGATCTTGGCTTATGTGTTAGACAATAGATTATTGAAGAATGAGGTCGGCTGCGAAAATTTTATTAGAAAGATAATCAAATGGTCTGCAAACCAGTCCCATCTTAGCCAAGAAAGTCATCTGGGTGACTCTGGGCCAGTCACTCTTTCTTAGCCCAACCCAATTCACTGGGTGGTTGTTCAGGGGAAAATGGTATTTGATGAAGAAAAGAGTATTAGGATTGTTTACCACCCTGAGCTAACAATAAGAACAGACCGAACAGAACAGAACAGAACAGAATAGAATAACAGAATAGAATATATGGAATGAAATAGAATAGAATAGAATAGAATAGAATAGAATAGAATAGAATAGAATAGAATAGAATATATGGAATGAAATAGAATAGAAATAGAATAGAATAGAACAGAACAGAACAGAACAGAATAGAATAGAATAGAATAGAATAAATAGAATAGAATAGAATAGAATAGAATAGAATAGAATAGAATAGAATAGAATAGAATAGAATAGAATAGAATAATAACTTTATTGTCACTTTGAATGTACACAAATCGGCATATATTAAAATGAAATTTTGTTCCATTTAGCTCTCAAATGTCACCACATCTGATATACGCTACATAAATATGACATAAAAATAATAAAGGTGAGATTGAAAAAAAATAACTTTTCTGAAAGAGGCCATAAAAGGTGAGCAGGCAAGAATTTGAGAGGTTGGTTTCTGTTTGGAGGTTAAGCAGGGTTGGGGCTGGTTAATCCTAGCAGGGGAGACCCCCAAGGCTGCAGGATGAATTGAGAAGTCTCAGAAATTACAGCAATGTCAACCAATCTCAGGTTGATGCCAAGGAAAATCCATGCTTGATGTGAAGAAGGCATCTCCAATCTCCTTTGGTTGCACCATCGAAAACGCTGAATGTGAGCAAAGCCGGAGGGAGGCAGAGGGAGGGCAAAGACAATCGAACATTCTTCCTTTCGCTCCCAAGAGTATTTCCATGGCAGAATTCACTACGCAAAGGAACCTCTACTTTCGGAGGCAGTCTACCCCAGAATAACAGCTGGGCCAACTGCTATCTCAACTACTTTCTTCTAAAAGCTCCCATGGACCTTCCCTATGCAGAGCAGAACAGGTAGAAAGTACCATCCTGGCAGCCAATCTGCATACTGAAGGGAGAGCCGCTGCCTTCCCATTGGACTCGGCAGTGCTGGGTGGGGCAGGCAGCAGTGCACTGGAGGCACAGCGCTTCCACCGCCACCACTGCAAATTGCATCCTGCCTGGCCCGGCTCTTCATCCATATCCCCTGGGATGATCCGGTGTTGTTGGAAGGACATGGATACAGAGCAGGGTCAGGCAGGATGCAATGGGTAGCCATAATGGGAGAAGCACATTGCCTCCCCAGCATCGGAGGCCACTTCCTGCTCCACCCTGTAGTGCCAAGTCCAATGGGAAGGCAGAGGCTAACCCTTCGGCACATAGATTGGATGCCAGGACGCCTGGATAATTGTCAGTGGGTAGAGAAAGCCATGACCTGAACAATATGTCTGTTTTTAGCGCAGTGCATATTACACCACTGCTCCACCAGCTGCGTAGGTTGCCAGCTTGCTTCTTGGTCCAGTTCCAGGTGTTGGTTGTAACCTTTGAAGCCCATCAGGGAGATGGACTAAGCTACGGTGGGAAACTCTCAGCCGAGTTACTGTACATCCTCCCACCCCATTAGAAGTTTAGTAAGTGATTGGTCACCACGATGCAAAAAAGATGTTGAGACTCTAGAAAGAGTACAGAGAAGAGCAACAAAGATGATTAGGGGACTGGAGGCTAAAACATATAAGGAACGGTTGCTAGAATTGGGTATGTCTAGTTTAACGAAGAGAAGGACAAGGGGGGACATGATAGCAGTATTCCAATATCTCAGGGGCTGCCATAAAGAAGAGGGAATAAGCTATTTTCCAAAGCACCTGAAGGCAGGACAAGAAGCAACGGGTGGAAACTAATCAAGGAGAGAAGCAACCTAGAACTAAGGAGAAACTTCCTGACAGTGAGAACAATTAATCAGTGGAACAGCTTGCCTCCAGAAGCAGTAAATGCTCCAACACTGGAAGTTTTTAAGAAGAGACTGGACAGCCACTTGTCCGAAATGGTGTAGGGTTTCCTGCCCGAGCAGGGGGTTGGACTAGATAACCTCCAAGGTCCCTTCCAACTTTACTAATATGAATATGAATATGATCAAATCTGGAACTGGAATACACGGAGAGGGGATTGTGCTGAGCTCTGTCAGGGATAGGAAAGGATTGGAGCAGGAGTCCAAGTTCCAGGTCTTCCTCCAAACCGCACTGCTTCTAAAGGAAACGTATGCACTTATGCACCATTTGAGATGAGCAGCTAAGGCAGAACTGCACCCATTGGATACCGAACACAGCTGGGACAGCCACTCTCAAGTACGGGATCCTCTCCAAATGGAGACCTCCTCTTTCCCCCTAAAGGATCCCACGGACCCTCCCTATGCAGAGCAGAACAGGGAGAAAGTCCCACCGCCAGAATGGGGCACAACTGCTTCGAATACCACACTTCGCTCCGATCCCTCAGTCTTCGTTTGATCCACTGTATTTCCACTCTAGGTGACCCGTTTCTCACCAGTCTTCTTCTGGGTGCACGTCAAGGTTTTGGGGGTCCCCTTTAAAGCTCTTCATGGCAGAGGTCCAGGTTAGTCTCCCGCCCCAGGAATTAGCCCATCCCACTTGTGATGGCAGAGGAGGTGTGCTGAGGGTCCCATCAGCCCGACTATTCTGGCTTGTGGAGTCCAGGAGGAGGGACTTGTCTGCTGTGGCTCCTGCCCTCTGGAACATCCTGCCCCCCAATGTGAGGTGGACCCCAACCCTCCTGTCTTTTTGTAAGGACCCAAAGACGGGGCTCTGTCAGTCAGCTTGGGGGCCCAGCTGAGGAATCGTGCAAGAGAGGTGCTTGATGGAGTAATAACAGATCCCACGTCTACCCCACTCCATCCACGCCCTCCCCACCTTTCTTTGGTTTTAACTTTTTATGTTTTAACTAAGATTATAATGTAAGCCGCCCAGAGTTACCCTATGGTAAGATGGGCAGCCAGTAAATTTTATATATATAAAAATAAAGAATAAAATCCTCAACCAGCATCAAAGCCTACCTGGGTCCTTGCACATGAATGCCACCAACAACAAGGCAAATAGCAAAGCTTTCATCTTGCAATCTCTTCTGCAACCTTCAAAGTGCAGTCAGGATGGGAGAACCTTTTGGGGGGCTGGAGATCCAGGTTCAAGAGCGGGGAGACTTGGAGAAGAAGGGAGGGGTAGGGGGTGTGACCTCATTTTCCCCACTACCAACAGGGAAACTGGATTCACTCCAGATGCAGAACCAACCAACCCTGTCTTAAAGGAAGCAGCTACCATTCCATTTTCAAAAGTTGGGCTTCTGGACAATGGCTATCTCGTCCTGAATTCATAGAAGGTAGCACAATCTGTGCAGGGCGCAAAATTAAACCAAGCCAAAATATCATATTTGCTCCCTGCAAGAGGAGAAGTGAACTGAGCTGATTGCTGATGATGCTTCAATATTTATGTTTTTAGGTTCAATCCCAAACATGCTGTCTAAGTATGTTTGGGGACTGTAAGCTTTCTTCACTTGGTTTGATAAGCTGAGGTTTATGGCCAAGATGTTCAGTAGATAGCAGGCAAGAGAACACCCTGCTTAAATGGCTGCATTCTGGATGTTCTTTCCATGCTTGAGGTGTCTCTGCAGAGGTTTCCTGATCAGGCCAGGTAACACAGTCATATGAACGAGAGAGTGAGGTTTTCCTTCCATCCCACGCTCAGATAATTTTATGTCGACTGCTAAAAAAATGGTCTGCAGGAAAACAGCCATGATCAGAGAGAACCTGATAGTTCAACCCTGAGCTACACATCGGAGTGTTGAAGTCTTGTGCTGGAGGGAAGCAGAAAGACAGGAACTGGATGAATTCTAAGATGCCAGAGAAGTTCAACATTGCAACAATGTGTGAGATGCTCACACACAACTGGAAAAGCTTTGCCTTGAACCTATAGCATGAGGTTCTCTTTTAAGCTTGGTTGAGCTTGGAGGGACACCACGTCTGGCTATTAAAGCACAAAGTCCTTCCATAGAATTCTGTCCCAAATCATGTTAGATATTCCGTCAGCTTGAAACACCAAAATTCAGGTGGGGGAGAGGCTGTTCAGGAGGATCAGAAGCAGACGTAGCCAGAGGCCAGGAGAAAAGTGGAACGGAGAAGGATTGAACGAGCTTTGCATTCAGTACTTTTCTTAGAGAGACTGCGATAACCATACAGTAACTGCTCACGTGGCGGAAAGAACAGAGGTCAGGTAAATGGACTGCAACAAAACAAATCTAGGCCAAACCACAATTTTGGGCCATGAGAAAATAATAAGACAATTTAGAACATAGAATAACAAAGTTGGAAGAGGACATTGGGAGTCTTCTACCCCAACCCCTTGCCTGAGCAGGAGACCCTATACCAGGGGTCTACAACCTGTGGGCTGCAGCCCACTACTGGGCCATGAGGAGTTTACAACTGGGCCATGGAAATGGTAAACAAACACAAAAAAGCGCACATCCTCATTTGCAGAAGCAGCGGGCGAGCGCATGTACACATGCTCCATTTGCTAGAGTGGCAGGAACACATGTGTAGTGCTCATGGAAATGGAGCTGTGTGCCCACATCCACACTTGCCAGCCACTTGCACGAAACATCCCCTCCCCCCACAGGTTCACAAAGCTGGAAATATTGGGGAACTCTGTCCTGTCCTGTTTCAGACAGTCTCTTTTGGGAAACCTCCAGTGATGGAGCATCCACAACTTCTGAAGGGAAGCCATTCCACTTGTCAACTGTTCTCACTGTTAGGGCATTTCTCCTTGGTTAGTTTCCAACCCTTGTTTCTTGTCTTGCCTTTTGGTGCTTTGGAAAATAGTGTGACATACACGTCTTTCTAGAAGCCCCTCAAATATCGGAACACTGCTATCGTATCTAGAGAAAAAAGTCTAGGAGTGACATAATACCAGTGTTCCAGTATTTGAGGGGTCCCACCAAGACGAGGGGTCAAGCTATTTTTCAAAGCACCATAAGGCAGGACAAGAAACAACGAATGGAAAGTAATCAAGGAGAGAAGTTACCTAGAACTAAGGAGAAATTTCCTGACAGTTAGAAGAATTAATTAGTGGAAAGACTTGCCTTCAGAAGTTGTGGGTGCTCCATCTTGAAGTTCCCAACTTAATTCTTCTCTCTGATCATGGCTGTTTTCCTGCAGATCCTTTTTTAGCAGGTGACATAAAATTATCTGAGCGTAGGATGGAAGGAAAACCTCACGCTCTCGTGCATGGACTGTGTTACTTGGCCTGATCAGGAAACCTCTGCAGGGACACCGCAAGCATGGGAAGAACACCCAGAACCCAGCCATATAAGCAAGGTGTTCTCTTGCCTTCTGTCTACAGAAATCTTGACCATAAACCTTAGCTTAGAAAACTGATTTCCTTCTCCCATCCTGGACTGCATTTTGAAGGCTGCAGAAGAGATTGCAAGATGAAAGCTTTGCTATTTGCGCTGTTGTTGGTGGCATTCATGTGAATGAATGAAATCTTGACCATAAACCTTATCTTATCAAACCGATTTCCCTTTGCGTAGTGGGGAACATAAGATCACCCCCTACCCCTCCCTCCTTTCCCAAGTCTCCCTGCTCTTCTTTTTTGAATTTGGAACTCCAGCCCCCACAAGGTGGGGCAGTGGTGTGAAGGCTGCAGAAGAGGTTGCAAGATGAAAGTTTTGCTATTTGTGTCGTTGTTGGTGGCATTCATGTGCGAGGACCCAGGTAGGCTTTGATGCTGGTTGAGGATTTTATTCTTTATTTTTTTTATATAAAATTTACTGGCTGCCCATCTTCCTATAGGGTAACTCTGGGAGGCTTACATTATAATCTTCGTTAAAACATAAAAAGTTAAAACCAAAGAAAGATGGGGAGGGCGCGGCTGGAGTGGGGTGGAAGTGAGATCTGTTATTACTCCATCAAGCAGCTCTGTTGCATGATTCCTCAGCCGAGGCCCCAAGCCAACTGGCAGAGCCCTGTCTTTAGGCCTTTATGAAAAGGGAAGGTTTTGGCCAACCTCACATTGGGGGGTAGGATATTTTAGACGACAGGGGCCACAACAGAGAAGGCCCTCCTCATGGACCCTGTCAGTAGAAATAGTGGGGCTGATGGGACCCTCAGCACAACTCCTCTGCCAGCACAAGTGGGATGGGCCAATCCCGGGGGGTGGGTGGGTGTGTGAGACTAACCTGGACCTCTACCATGAAGGGCTTTAATCGCACTAGGAATCTGACTGGTAAGCAGTGGGTCACCCAGAGTGGAAATAGTGGATCAAACAAAGACTGAGGGATCGGAGCGAAGTGTGGTATTCGAAGCAGTTGTGCCCCATTCTGGCGGTGGGACTTTCTCCCTGTTCTGCTCTGCATAGGGAGGGTCCCTGGGAGCTTTTAGGGGGAAAGAGGAGGTCTCCATTTGGAGAGAAGCCCATAGCTGAGACAGTGCTTGGCCCAGCTGTTCTTCTGGGGTAGACTGCCTCTGTAAGTAGAGGTCCCTTTGCGTAGTGAATTCTGCCATGGAAATACTCTTGGGAGCGAAAGGAAGAATGTTCCATTGTCTTTGCCCTCCCTCTGCCTCCCTCCGGCTTTGCTTACATTCAGCGTTTTTGATGGTGCAACCAAAGGGGATCAGCGATGCCTCCTTCAAGTCAAGCATGGATTTTCCTTGGCATCAATCTGAGGTTGAGATTGGCATCAACCTGCTTTAATTTCTTAACGATTTCTGAACAACGACCTAGTGAAATCTGTTGGGGGAGAGAAAGAAGGACTGGCCCAGAGTCACCCAAATGCCTTTCTTGGCTAAGGCTGGACTGGAACTCACAGATTCCTTGTCTGCAGATCGTTTTATTCTCTTTCTGGTGAAATTCTCACAGCCAGACTTATTGTTCGATAGTCTATTATCCAATACATAATAAGACAAGAACAAAGAAATAAATGCCAAAGTGAGTTTGCTCTCTTGTATTTCTTTCATACAGTCACGAGTCTACAATGCTACACGTGTGGTGAAATTGAGTACATGTGTGATTGGAGAAGGCACTGTTGGAAAGGACAAAGGTTCTGTGTTACTTCGATGCAACTAAATGGTAAGCCAAGTTCCTATCCTTTCTGACAGTTTTTCTTCTTGTATGGAAACTAAAACTCCCAAATGCAGCTCAGGATTGGACATTATCTAGGACCCGTCTGTGCCCTCTCTGGTCATGGCCAGAGAGTCTAAGGCAGACATGTCAAACCCAAGGCCCGGGGCCAGATGTGGCCTGCGAAGTGGTTTCATGTCGCCTGCGAAGTCATCCTGGAAACAGTGAGGGAACAGCCCCCACTGCCTTGGCCCTGGCCCAGGCTGGCCAGGAGACCTTGTACAACTTTGTGGTGGCCATCTATGCTGAAACACATTCAGTCTTAGCTCGACAAGGCTGTCTGGAAGCAGCGAGGAACCAGGCCTTGCCGCGTTGGCCCCAGCCCCCTGAGTGCATGCTGGGGAGGTGTCACCCTTTGTGAGGAATGAAGAAATGGACCATGCTTTGGCGCTTGCCCCGGTCCCACCCCCTTCTGCCAGAGACCCTCAGATCTGTCCCATTCCTGCCCAGGCCCCCACAGGCACCCTTGACGCGAATGATATAGAGCTGGCCATGCCCACCCAATAGGCCACACCCACTCTATCCATGCCCACCCAGTAGGCCTCACCACCCTGGTCACACCCACCCAGCCCGCCCAAGGGCAACCGCAATGCTGATGCAGCCCTCAATGAAATTGAATTTGACACCCCTGGCCTAAGGGATGCCAGGAAATGGGGGGGGCTTAGAATGGGGAGCCATGTCCTTCCCAGCAGCTATCCAGTTTTGGAGGGGGACATTCTTTATAGAGAGGGGGAGGGGGAAAGGCTACGAGAGTTGGGGGCTTCCTACGGACGTGAAACAAGTTTGGGCCTTGTAGATTGAGCCATGAAATATCCAAGGGAAGAGGACCTTCCCCAGAATGCTTGTTTACTATTTTACTCCCGAGTAGTCAGTAGAGGAGGAAGGAGGTCCGCCTTCACGTTGTGTGGGAATGCATGACTGTGTGTCCACTGTGGGTTTACCGTTTTGTTCAGAAATAACCGCACGTCAGTTCTTTGGCACTGTAAATGGGTTTTTTTTTATTTTGCCTTCACTGCAGGCCAAGTGACCAAAGGATGTGCTTGGAAGTGCACTGGAAAGATCCACGGAATTCTGATTGAATGTTGCACTACTGATTTTTGCAACCAGGATTAATAAAATATCCTTCTGAGTTTAGCTGTCATCCATCATGGACCATCTTTGCAGATTTAGGCTTGTGGCCTTTACGGTCCATAATTCAACTCCTCAGCTTCTTTGGACACCTTGCCCTCTCTCCCTTTTCTCCTGCTCTCCAAGCTTTGTTGTGCTCTTTCTGTAGTTTGGCATCTGAATACATTTGTGTATTTACATTCAAGCGTAGCGGATGTGTTTGCTATGACGTGTCCATTTTCCTTTTTTGAAAGTTTCATTGCAGAAATAGTAGAAGGCTGAACGTGTTTGTTTGTTTGTTTGTTTGTTTTGTAATCCATCTTACAGATAAATTTATATTATTATTTTCTTAAACTGTATTCAATGACCCTCATGAACTGAAAGAACTGAGTACATACATTGGTAAGAACTTAGCCAGAGAGTTTATCCAACTGGTGAAATCTGGATTGGCTGTTCCAGTGTTGTTTAAAGAAAAGAGAGATGGGTTGATGAGATTGCGCATTGATTATTAAAGGGTTAAATGCTGTCAGCATGGAAAACATGTAGCCCCTCCCCTTGATGAAGAACATGATGGCCCATTTGGTGAAAGGATTTTTTTTTTTTTTACCAAATTAGACCTAAGAGAGGCATATTACTGAATAAGGATCAAGGAAAGAGACGAGTGGAAAACAGCTATTAACAGCCCCTTAGAAAGCTTCCAGTTCAATGTTATGCCTTTCGGTCTGCAGGGGGCTCCTGCTGTGTTCATGCAATTGATTAATCAAGTGCTGCATGATCACCTCTACAAAGGAGTTTTAGTTTACCTTGACAATATCCTCATTTATAGAGAGACCATGGTGGAGCATGTCAAGTTAGTAAGTGAAGTACTTAAAAAGCTGTTAAACTGTTAAACTCAAAACCTTATGCAAAACTCTCAAAGCATGAGTTCCATCAAACACGCCTGGATTACCTGGGATCTAGGCTTTCCAGTGAGGGCATTGAGATGGACCCAGCCAAGGTGAAAGCCGTACTGGAATGGCAATGCCCACATACCCATAAATAGCTCCAGAGCTGTTTGGGCTTCGCAAACTTCTACTGGCAATTCATCCCCTCTTTTGCTGAAATTGCTTTGCCACTGACTGAACTGTTAAAAACAAAGAAAAATGGGGGGAAGCCATGGCCCTGCCAACCTCTGCCATGGTCAATTGAATGCCAAACTGCTTTGGAGAACTTAAAGAGTCTGTTTGCAGCAGAACCCCTTCTTAAACACCCCGATCCTGAAAAGCAATTCATCGTCCAAGCCAATGCTAGCAACGTAGCCGTGGGAGCTGTCCTTTTGCACAAGAATGGAAAGATGGAAAATTACAGCGCTGTGCTTACACCTCCCAAAAACTGACAGACACTGAACATAGGTGGGCAGTCTGGGAAAAAGAAGCTTTTGTGGTTCAGTGGGCTTTGCTCGCATGGCATCATTGTCTCAAGGGGGGAGACTTGCCTTTTGAAGTATGGACTGATCATAAAAATCTAGAGGCATTAAGAACCCCTTGCAAACTATCCCCCAAGCAAGTCAGATGGGTGCAGTATTTCAGCCAATTCAGCTTTACACTGAAATACCTTCCAGGGGGTAAGAACTTCCTGGCTTACACCTTGTCCAGATTGCCCCAATACCAAAGCCATCGAGAAGAACTTATAAACTCTGTCATTTGTCAGTCACAATCGATTTCTCAAGTAAGAACAGGGGGGCCTTCACACACAAAACCTACTGAGCCTGATAACCCGATTATGAAGAGACTGAAAGGAGATCTGGAAACTGATACCTGGTTCCTAGCAAATAAAACCATTTTGACTTCTTGGGACAGGTTGGCTTGGAAGGGGTGAAAACTATATCTACCCGAGACTCTCAGAATTCAAGCTCTCCAAAGCAGCCACGATAGAAAGCAAGCAGGTCACTTTGGCTACCTAAAGACTTTACATTTAATTTGATGGCAGTTCTTGTGGCCAGGACTATAGAAAGACGTTGAGAACTATGTGAAAAGCTGCGCTATTTGTGCAACAATGAACAAGCGTCCAGGTAAACCTCTTGGGTGGTTGCAGCAGGTAGCAGATCCTTCCCCACCCTGGGAAAAGATCGCTATGGACTTTATTATAGAATTACTGGAAAGCAGAAGAAATATGATAATATGGACTGTGATTGAAGTTTCTTCAAAGCAAGCTCGTTTCATCCCCTGCACAGGTCTCCCCTCCACGAAGAAGCTGGCACGAATGTTTGTCAAACACATTTACCTATTCCATGGAACCCCGAGGCGGATTATATCAGGTTCACTGCTTGGTTCTGGAGAGACTTTCTGAAAATTTTCCCTTCTTTAGGGGATCCAACTGTCAAACCTACAGAAACTACTCTGGCTTACAGCCATCTTTCTTCGTTTTTTCAGCTTGCCACCGCTAAGGAGGGATGGGAGATGCATTCTTCTAGTTCAGTCATAACAATAACTTTCTTATGGAACCAAGGTCAAATTGCTCAAGTGTTTGGCGGGCTAGAACTACCGTTAGAAAGCCCGCCAAAGGTGTTAACTGGAGAATGTGATTTATTACATATTTAGTAGGTGGGAATAAGTATTACTTTACAAGGTTTTTTTGGGGAAGGGGAACGTCTGGTCTTGGTTTCACCTATGTTCATGCTGATATTATCTAGCCATTAAAATTGTTCTTTGAGGAAAGCAATTGCCTCAGAGTTCTTATTTCTACAGGTCTCATCTATCGGAACCATGACACTGGGACAGCTCCATGGCTGTCATTGAAATCGTGAACTCCTTGCCACCTTGGATCCCCCTCCCAGAGAAAGCAAAGTAATGTCCCCCAGAATCATAAATCTGGGGACCTTTATAACCAACCAGCTAGTGGTTTCAACAGTACGGATGATTTACCAACTTTGGTACAAAAACGATTCTTAAAACCTTTCTTTACTACTGTTTTTCTAATGTCTTTTGAAATAAACTTCATTTGGCTTTCAAGGCATTTGCTAGTTTTGGTTAAGAAATTGAATTTCAACTTACTTAAAATTTATTCTCAATAGAAATATACCCTGCCTGTCTTGTAAATCTGCCTAGAGACATTGGATTTGAGATGGGCAGCAAATAAATTGCATAATAAACAAACAAATCAGTAAAATTACTTTGATTACTAAAGCAGCCCCAACATTATTATTTTTTTTCTTGGCTCACATAACTGTACATAGTTTCAGCTGCTGAATATCCCCAATAGATATTTCAAATTAGTTTAAGTTATAACCAGAAGCCAACATGGTTTTCTCCAAAACAGATCATGCGAAATATTGTCTTATTTTGTTCTTTGATAAAGTGACTAAATTAGTGGATTAGCAAAATGTTGTGGATATAGTATACTTGGATTTCAGTTAAGCATTTGACAAAAGCATTTGACACAACCTACTTCTTGGTAAACTTAAAAAAATTGTGGGATAGATAGCAACACTACCAGATGGGTTTCTAACTGGCTGACAAACCATACTCAACATGTAGTCCTCAATGGAACTACAACCACATGGAAGGAAGGAAGCAGTGGGGTCCTACAAGGTTACATTCTAGGCCAAGTACTCTTCAATATCTTATCAATATCAATATCAATATCAATATCAATATCAATATCTTCATTAACCATCTAGACCAGGGGTGCCAAACTCAATTTCATTGAGGGCCGCATCAGCACTGCGGTTGCCCTCAGGGGGAGGGTGTGTGTGGCCAGGGTGGGTGTGGCCTACTGGGTGGGCATGGATGGAGTGGGTGTGGCCTACTGGGTGGGCATGGCCAGCTCTACATCGTTCACATCAAGAGTGCCTGTGGGGGCCTGGGCAGGAATGGGACAGATCTGAGGGTCTCTGGCAGAAGGGGGTGGGACCGGGGCAAGCGCCAAGGCACGGTCCATTTCTCCATTCCTCACAAAGGGTGACACCTCCCTAGCATGCACCCAGGGGGGAGGGCCGACACGGCAGGGGCTCCTTGTGGAGCTAAGACTGAATGTGTTTCAGCATAGATGGCCACCACAAAATTGTACATGGGCTCCCGGCCGGCCTGGGCCAGGGCCAAAGCAGCGGGGGCTGTTCCGTCACTGTTTCCAGGATGGCTTTGTGGGCCACATAAAACCACTTTGCGGGCCGCATCCGGCCCCCGGGCCTTGTGTTTGACATGTCTGATCTAGACGAGGGAATAGCACGGAAACTGATCAAATTTGTAGATGACCAAAATAATTCTCCTATGGCAGTGGTTCTCAACCTTGGCAACTTTAAGACTTGTGGACTTCAACTCCCAGAATTCCTGGCTGAGGAATTCTGGGAGTTGAAGTCCACAAGTCTTAAAATTGCCAAGGTTGAGAACCCCTGTCTATGGGGTCTAAGAGAAAGCACCAATCAACCAACTATCGAGTTCTCTCTAATCATGGCTGCATTCCTGCAGACCCTTTCTTAGCAGGTGACATAAAATTATTTGAGGGTGGAATGGAAGGAAAACCTCACTCTCTCGTGCATGGAAAGTGTTTCCTGATCTGCAGGGACATGGCAAACATCGAAAGAACAGCCAGAACAGAACCATTTAAGCAGGGTGTTTTTTTGCCGGCTATCTATTGAAATCTTGACCATAAACCTTAGCTTATGAAACTGATTTCCCTTTGTGTAGTGGGGAACATGAGATCACCCCCTACCCCTCCCTTCTTTCCCAAGTCTCCCCTCTCTTCCCTCTTGGATCTGGATCTCCAGCCCTCACAAGGTGGGGCAGAGGTACACATATATATAGAACTTCCTTCTCCCATCCTGGGCTGCACTGTGAAGGCTGCAGAAGAGATTGCAAGATGAAAGCTTTGCTATTTGCGTTGTTGTTGGTGGCATTCATGGGCAAGGACCCAGGTAGGCTCATGAACCTTTGTTGAGGATTGTATTATGTATTTATTTATAAACTTTTTGGCTGCCCATCTTACCATAGGGTAAGTCTGGGAGTTATCAACCTTACTTCTAAGTTTAGAATAGAATAGAATAAAGGTGGAAGGGATCTTCAGACAAATGGTTGTCCAATCTTTTCTTAAATCTTAAATCATCCAGTGTTAGAACATCCATAACTTCTGGAGGCAAATTGTTCCACTGGTTAATTATTCTAACAGGAAATTTCTCGTTAGTTCTAGGTTGCTTTTTTCTTGATTAGTTATCATCTGTTGCTTCTTGTCCTGCCTTCAGGCATTTTGGACATTAGCTTGACTCCTTCTTTGGGGCAACTTTTGAGATTTTGGAAGACTGCTATCATGTAAACCTAGTCTTTCTTTTAATTAAACTGGACATACCAAATTCCAGCAAACTGTCTTTACATGTTTTAGTCTCCAGTCCCCTAATCATCTCTGTTGCTCTTCTCTGCTCTCTTTCTACAGTTTCAACATCATTTTTACATTGTGGTGACCAAAACATGATGTAGTATTCAAAATGTAACATTACCAAGACATTGTAAAGTGGTATTAACACTTCAAGTGATCTTGATTCTATTCCTCTGTTAATGCATCCTAGATCTGTGTTGTCTTTTTTGGCAGCTGCAGCACACGGCTGACTCATATTTAGGTAATTGTCCACTAGGACTCCGAGGTCCCTCTCACAGTTGCTACTATTGAGTGAGGTACCCCTATACTATACCTATGCATTTGGTTTTTCTTGCCTGAATGTAGAACCTTACTTTTTTCACCATTGAATTTCATTTTGTTAGATAGCGCCCATTGTTCAAGTCTGTCCAGATCCATTTATATCTTAAGCCTGTCTTCTGGAGTGTTGGCTATTCCTGACAGCTTGGTGTTGTCTGCAAATTTGATGAGTTTTCCATGTATCCCCTCGTCCAAATCGTTGATGAAGATGTTGAGGAGCACTGGGCCCAGAACAGAGCCCTGGGGTACCCCATTGCATTCTTCCCTCCATATACAAGTAGTTCCATTGAGGACCACACCCTGACTATTGTTGGTCAGCTAGTTACATTAAAAGATAAAAAGTTAAAATCAAACATGAAAACCAAAGAAAGATGGGGAGAGCGGGGATGGAGTGGGTTGGAAGTATGGGATCTGTTATTACTCCATCAAGCGCCTCGGTTGTGCAATTCCTCAGCCGGCGACCCAAGCCGACTGGCAGAGTCACATCTTTAGGCCCTTGCAAAAAGACAGGAGGGTTGGGGTCCACCTCACATTGGGAGTCAGGATGTTCCAGAGGGAAGGACCCACAGCAAAGAAGACCCTCCTCCTAGACTCTGCAAGCTGGAATAGTCAGACTGGTGTGACCCTCAGCAGGCCTCCTCTGCCGGCATGAGTGGGATGGGCCAATCCCATGGGGGTGAGACTAACCTGGACACCTGCCATGAAGGGCTTTAAAGGGGACCCCCAACACCTTGAATTGCACCCAGAAGCAGAACGGTAACCAGTGGAGCTCACGGAGCAGTGGGGCCACAGGGACCATTCATGGGTACCCCAAACATACCTGCGCTGCCACGCTCTGCACCAGCTGTAGCTTCTGAATACTTTTCAAGGCTGGCCCCATTTGGGGCACATTACTGTGAGAAGATGGCGACAGCATCTCTTGGGTCACCCAGAGTGGAAATATGGAGGATCAAAGAAAGACTGAGGGATCGGAGCGAAGTGTGGTATTCGAAGCAGTTGTGCCCCATTCTGGCGGTAGGACTTTTTCCCTGTTCTGCTCTCCATAGGGAGGGTCCCTGGGAGCCTTTAGGGGGAAAGAGGAGGTCTCCATTTGAAGAAAAGCCCGTAGCTGAGACAGTGCTTGGCCCAGCTGTTCTTCTGGGGTAGACTGCCTCTGAAAGTAGAGGTTCCTTTGCGTAGTGAATTCTGCCATGGAAATACTCTTGGGAGCAAAAGGAAGAATGTTCCATTGTCTTTGCCCTCCCTCTGCCTCCCTCCGGCTTTGCTCACATTCAGCGTTTTTGATGGTGCAACCAAAGGGGATCAGAGATGCCTCCTTCAAGTCAAGCATGGATTTTCCTTGTCATCAACCTGAGATTGGTCGACATTGCTGTAATTTCTGAATGATTTCTGAACAATGACCTAGTGAAATCTGTTGGGGGAGAGAAAGAGGGACTGGCCCAGGGTCACCCAAATTCCTTCTTGGGTAAGGCTGGACGGGAACTCAAGGACTCCTTGTCTGCAGACCGTTTTATTATCTTTCTGGTGAAATTTTCACAGTCAACCTTATTCTTCGATAATCTATGATCCAATACATAATAAGACAAGATCAAAGAAATAAATGCCAAAGTAAGTTTGCTCTCTTTTATTTCTTTCATATAGTCACGAGTCTACAATGTTACACATGTGGTGGATCATTTTGTGAATGGAAAATGCCTTGTGCAAATGAAGAAAAGTTCTGTTATTTTGTGACTACACAAAATAGTAAGGAAAGTTCCTATCCTTTCTGACAGTTTTTCTTCTTGTATGGAAACTAGAGCTCCCAAAATGCAGCTCAGGGTTCCAGATCACCTAGGACAGTGGTGGCGAACCTATGGCACGGGTGCCAGAGGCGGCACTCAGAGCCCTCTCTGTGGGCACACGTGCTGTCTCCCCGGTCCTAGGCCTTCAGCTGGGTTTTATAAAACCTTTTCGCTTTAGGCCTCCGCCGCCATGTGCAAAAAAAAAAAAAGGTTCAATCAGTCAATTTCAACTTCTCGCGGAAAAAAAAGATTTTGCAAAGTTGGAATTGATTGATTGAACTTTTTAGTCCCACCCAGTCTGCTGTTACCACTGCAGCCATGCCCACCCAATGCGCCACGCCCACCCAATGGGCCACGCCCACCCAATGGGCCACGCCCACCCAATGGGCCACACTCACCCGGCACTCGATGATGCATAAGTGGGTTTTGGGTTGCAGTTTGGGCACTTGGTCTCTAAAAGGTTCGCCATTACTGACCTCGGACCTTTCTGTGCACTGTCTGGGTTACCCTGAGGTCATGGCCCTACAGACTAAGGGATGCCAGGAAAGGGGGGGCATAGAATGGGGACCCCCATCCATCCCAGGATCACCCCAGTTTTGGGGGGCACATTCTTTATAGAAAGGGGGTAGGAAGAAAAGCCTGGGAGAGCTGGAGGTTTTCTGTGGACGTCACCAAGTTTGGAACTTGGAGATGAAGCCATGAAATATCCAAGGAAGATGGACTTTTCCCAGAATGCTTGTTTACTATTTTAATCCCAAGTAGTCAATAGAAGAGGAAGGAGGTCCACCTTGGTGCTGGGTGGAGATACATGACTGGGTCTACAATGTGGGATTACTGCTTTGCTCACAAACAACCGCAGATCAATTCTTTGGTACTGTTAATGTTTTGTTTTATGTTTCCTTTGCCACAGTTGAAAAGAAGAAAGGATGTGCTCGAACATGCCCTGAACAGCACTTTGGAAGGGCTTATTGTTGCACAACTGACTTTTGCAATTAGCTTTATTAAAATATCTGATGTGGTTCCGGCTAATGAAACATTTCAAAGAACTTCCAGGCATTTATTTTCCTAAAAGTCTTTTATTGTTACAAAATGTCGGCACAGGCACAACGGAGGGATTCTAGGATCTAAGTTCTCTTCCTCTGAGCAGTTAAATTATCAGTGTGTTCCCTCCCTAAATTAGCCGTCATATCTCACACTATCCAATTAGTGTGAAGGTCAAATGTTTTCTTCCTCTTTCTTTCCTGGGCTTTACCCCCAACGCCCCTTCTGCTCTTTATTAACCCCATATTTACCAGACAATTCTGCATATTGTCAAAAGCAAGAATATACAGTATTTGCAGCGTTGACAATATCCATGGGCAGATTTAGGCTTGTGGCCTTTATGGTCCATAATTCACTCCCTCGGCTTCTTTGGACACCTTGCCCTCTCTCCCTTTTCTCCTGACCTACAAGATTTGTTCTGCTCTTTCTGTAGTTTGGCAACAGAATAAATTTCTGCATTTAAATTCAAGTGGCGTCAATGTGTTTGCTATGACATGTCCATTTCCCTTTTTGGAAAGTTCAATTGCGGACGACTAGAAGGCTGAAGGTTTCTTTTCTTTTGTTTGTTTGTTTTTTTTGTAATCCATCTTACTGACAAATTATTATTATTATTTTTCTTAAACTGAGTAAGAGTGACGAGTATTCCTGGCTCTTCTGTGTCGAAGGACATGAAAACACATTGGAAATGAGTGTCATTCCATGTCCTTCCTTAGAGAGATCCAGGAGATTAAAACAGAGGGGGAATCCCTCCATAAGGAGCTCTCCTAAACACAGACGTGAGAGAACCTCGATCCATCGCCATGGCCAAAGAAGAGATTTCTAAGCTGGCACCTTTCCAGCTGGTTCACCCTCTCAGGTCAGGCAGTTTATGTGTGCCACGGGCAAAACCCCTGAGTCCTCTTCCTTCTCCAATGGGTGCAGGTCTGCCTTAGACGCCCATCTCAGACAATACATCAGTTTCTTTAGAAGCAGCGTGGTTTGGAGGAAGATCTGGAACTTGGACTCCTGCTCCAATCCTTTCCTATCCCTGCCAGGGCTCAGCACAATCTCCTATCTGGGTATTCCAGTTCCAGATTTGATCACTTACTAAACTTCTAATGGGGTGGGAGGATGTACAGTAACTCGGGTGAGAGATAAAGTCCTTCCATAGAATTCTGTCCCAAATCATGTTAGATCAGTGGTTCTCAACCTGTGGGTCGGGACCCCATTTGGGGTCGAATGACCATTTCACGGGGGTCGCCAAACAATGCAGTCCGCCATTTTTTTCCCCTTTTCCTTAGCTGTGCTGTTCCCTTTTATTCTATTGGCTTTTGAAAACCAATAGAATAGACTCTCTTGAATAGAGTCTAATTCTATTGGCTTTCAAAAGCCAATAGGAATTGTCCAGGCTGTCTTTGCCCTGCTGAGCCCCCCAAAAGTCCCATTCTGCAAATGGTGCTGCACCAGTTGAGTAGTCCTCGACTTACGACTGGTTAAGTAGTCCTCGACTTACGACCAGTTGGGGGTCGCGGCATTAAAAAGGTTGAGAACCCACTGTGTTAGATATTCAGTCAGCTTGAAACACCAAATTCAGGTGGGGGAGAGGCTGTTAGGGAGGATCAGAAGCAGACGTAGCCAGAGGCCAGGAGAAAAGTGGAATGGAGAAGGATTGAATGAGATTTGCATTCAGTACTTTTCTTAGAGAGATGCGATAACCATACAGTAACTGCTCACGTGGCGGAAAGAACAGAGATGAGGTAAATGGACTGCAACAAAATAAATCTAGCCCAAACCACAATTTTGGGCCACGAGAAAATAATAAGACAATTTAGAACATAGAATATGTTCTGGGTGACCCCTTTCTATAAAGAATGTGCCCCTCCCAAACTGGGGTGATCCTGGGAGGGTTGGGGTCCCCACTCTAAGCCCCCCTTTCCTGGTATCCCTTAGGCTATCGGGCCAGGACCTCAGGGGAACCTGGACCTCCAATTCTCAGCTGCATTTGGGAGTTCTAGTTTCCATACAAGAAGAAACACTGTGAGAAAGGATAGGAACTTTGCTTACCAGTGTGATCGTACAGAGCATAACAGATAAGATTGTCTTCCAAACATATTTTCTCTTTACAAGCACCATAACATCAAAGACATTGCCGACCCACAACTGGATGAAAGAAATATAAGAGAGGATTCTCACTTAGATATTTCTTTGACCTTGGCATATTATGTCCTAGACAATAGATTATTGAAGTATAAGGTCAGCTGCAAAAAAATTATTAGAAAAATAATCGAATGGTCTGCAAACCAGTCCCATCGTAGCCAAGAAAGGCATCTGGGTGACTCTGGGCCAGTCACTCTTTCTTAGCCCAACCCAATTCACTGAGTGGTTGTTCAAGGGAAAGTGGTATTTGATGAAGAAAAGAGTATTAGGATTGTTTACCACACTGAGCTAACAATAAGAACAGAACAGAACAGAACAGAACAGAACAGAACAGAATAGAATAATAACTTTACTGTCACTTTGAATGTACACTAATCGGCATACATTAAAATAAAATTTCGTAGCATTTAGCTCTCAAATGTCACCACGTCCAATATACGCTACATAAATATGACCTAAAAATAATGAAGGTAAGATTGAAAAAAAATAACTTTTCTGAAAGAGGCCATAAAAGGTGAGCAAGCGAGAACTTGTGAGGTTGGTTTCTGTTTGGAAGCTAAGCAGGGTTGGGGCTGGTTAATCCTAGGAGGGGAGACCCCCGAGGCTGCAGGATGAATTGAGAAGTCTCAGAAATTACAACAATGTCAACCAATCTCAGGTTGATGCCAAGGAAAATCCATGCTTGACTTGAAGGAGGCATCTCCGATCTCCTTTGGTTGCACCATCGAAAACGCTGAATGTGAGCAAAGCCGGAGGGAGGCAGAGGGAGGGCAAAGACAATGGAACATTCTTCCTTTTGCTCCCAAGAGTATTTCCATGGCAGAATTCACTACGCAAAGGAACCTCTACTTACAGAGGCAGTCTACCCCAGAAGAACAGCTGGGCCAAGCACTGTCTCAGCTACGGGCTTCTCTCCAAATGGAGACCTCCTCTTTCCCCCTAAAGGCTCCCAGGGACCCTCCCTATGGAGAGCAGAACAGGGAGAAAATCCCAACACCAGAATGGGGCACAACTGCTTCGAATACCACACTTCACTCCGATCCCTCAGTCTTTCTTTGATCCTCCATATTTCCACTGCGGGTGACCCAAGGGATGCTGTCGCTATCTTCTCAGGGTAATGTGCCCCAAATGGGGCTAGCCTTAAAGAGCATTCAGAAGCTACAGCTGGTGCAGAGCACAGCAGCGCAGGTACGTTTGGGGTGCCCATGAATGGTCATGGTGGTCCCACTGCTCTGTGAGCTCCACTGCTTACCAGTCTGTTTCTGGGTGCAATTCAAGGTGTTGGGGGTCCTCTTTAAAACCCTTCCTAGCAAGGGTCCAGGTTACTCACCCCCCGGGATTGGCCTGTCCCACTCGTGCTGGCAGAGGAGGCCTGCTGAGGGTCCCATCAGCCCGACTATTCTGGCTGGTGGGGTCCAGCAAGAGGGCCTTCTCTGCTGTGGCCCCTGCCCTCTGGAATATCCTGCCCCCCAATGTGAGGTTGGTCTCAACCCTCCTGTCTTTTCATAACGGCCTAAAGATGTGGCTCTGATATGCAAGTTCTGAGGTTTTGCTGGTTAAAGAAATACAGGAAACTAGAAGTTGCCTTCAGGTTTACGTCTTTATTCAGCTGAATAGAGTCGGGCTTCTGTACAAAATACCCCAAAGCCCCAAATAGCAAAGAGAGCTTATTTTTATAGTCACTTTGGTTACATAAGCAATTCACCCAGCTAGGCTGGCACACATAAGATTAAGACTTTAAGGCTGGCACACTGTAGATAAGAAAAGCAGAAGTAGCTAGTATGTTCTCTCAAGAAGTTTCCCCAAGACCATATGTTCAGTCTTGCGTGTTGTGGGTGCTGTGAGTGTTGCCCCAAGATGCCAGATGTTCTTGGGTGGGTTTAGAACAGTGTTTCTCAACCCTGACAATTTTAAGGCATGTGGACTTCAACTCCCAGAATTCCACAGCCAGCAATGCTGGCTGTGGAATTCTGGGAGTTGAAGACCACATGCCTTAAAATTGTCAAGGTTGAGAAACGCTGGTTTAGAACATTGCGTGTTTCTTTTCATGACCCTTCATTCATAGGCCTACAAGAGATAGAGGGAGCCATCTGTATATTGTCCTCTGAGTCCTGGTAACCAATCCCCCCCCTTTCATGCTGCAAGCAGTGCGTAGGAGCATGACAGCCCAACTGAAGAGACAGAGGATAAACCTCTGTTGCACGTTGCACACAGCATTTAGAACAAACAGAGCTGAGTAGAGGCAAGCAGTGAAGGAAACAAGAATAAGGAATACCACAAAGAGAAGACCAAGGAATAATTCCCTAAACCAGTGGTTCTCAACCTGTGGGTCGGGACCCCATTTGGGGTCGAACGACCATTTCACGGGGGTCGCCAAACAACGCAGTCTGCCATTTTTCCCCCCTTTTCCTTAGCTTTTGAAAGCCAATAGAATAGACTCTCTTGAATAGAGGCTAATTCTATTGGCTTTCAAAAGCCAATAGAAATTGTCCAGGCTGTCTCTGACCTGCTGAGCCCACCAAAAGTCCCATTCTGCAAACGGTGCTGCACCAGTTGAGTAGTCCTCGACTTACGACCAGTTGAGTAGTCCTTGACTTATGACCGGTTGGGGGTCGCGGCATTAAAAAGGTTGAGAACCACTGCCCTAAACCATCCCCATCCTGGGAGCCAACTGGTAAGTAATGAAAATATACCATGGAAAACCTCCCATACAGTATTCAGTAGAAATCTTCAAATCTTTAGGGTAATTCGTAATCCCTTCTTCTATGAGATGGATGGTATGACTAATGTTAACTTGATAGTCAGTTACAAAAGTGCAGCAATGTGAATGGACTAAAGCAGGGCTTTTCAACCAGTGGTACGGGTACCATCTGTGGTACATTGGCACCTGGCAGGTGGTACGCAACCATCCTAGAAAAGTGGTAGCAGG